TATTAGAATGAAGACTGCAGTAAAACTGCCCGAAATATGGCAAAAATAATATTAGAGACCATGACATTTAATAGGAATTTTACATATTTGTATCACAAGTACATTCTAAGACGAAATGCAATATATTTTATTTATAATAGGACAAAACTTCATCTTCATTGTCTTTTTGGCTGTTTAATAAAGTTGGTTACTGGAAGTGACAATTTTGTGCATTTTTTTCAAAAGAAACAAAAGAAAACTGATTTGCATTGCCTTACAGTCAACCGGATGTTCTGTTCTCCTGAGTATTGCTACGTTGCAATCAATCTTGCAATGTCTGAGTATTGCGACGTTGCAATCAATCTTGCAATGTCTGAGTATTGCAACGTTGCAATCAATCTTGCAATGTCTGAGTATTGCAACGTTGCAATCAATCTTGCAATGTTGATTGGCAAATGGATGATTCCAGCTATAGATGAAATTTTGATCTGGACAAGAAGAACAAAACATTACCATATAACTGGAAAGAGCATCTTCAAATAAGTAAAATTGCAAAGTTTGGTTGTGAATTGTTGTAAAATGAGGAAAATATAGCCCTGTGAAATTCACAAATTTTGTATATACTTGCCAGCCTAGTTCCTGGCCTTCTCGCTTCCGCCTCATTATTTTAGGGGGAAATCAACAAGGTTTGCAGGTTGACCGAAACTGACGCCCGCAAGTTCACGACAGCCTGTGACTCGCACGCGCTTGGAAGGCCAGGGACTAGGCTGTATATTTGCATTACACACGGAATAAATAACCATTTTTGAGCAGAAAGTGGTTATTTTTACCACATGTAATACAAATATATACAAAATTTGCGAACTTCACAGGGCTTTATTTTCTTCATTTTACAACATTTACCAACCCATCTTTGCAGTTTTACTCATTCTAAGATGCTCTTTCTAGCTGTGGTGTTGGATTTCGTTCTTGACTAGTTCACTTGATCAAAATTTTGTCTATAGCTGGAGTCACACATTGCTCCGAACAAATATAATTGCAATTGAAACACGCAAGTTGCCTCGCAAGTTGAAACTGTCAATTTCTCAAGTTCCTATCATGAAAATAAATAAACAATCCAAAACGAAGTACCTGAGGACTATAATGTTTTTCTTTTCGTTTTACAAATTAAAAGTATTATTGAAGAAATATGCAAAAAGTGAAGCCTCGTGCACAGAGTCACATACAGAGGCTTATCTCAGCGAGAAAACCGTAAGGTGGGTTTTTTGGCCGCTGTACCTGCACATGTGCTGTATATGTAAAAAGGTGGCTTCTCTTTACTGGACTGGCTAAGAACATGGCATATTTTTCAAAAAAATCCCAGCTTACGCAAAATTAACCTGAAGTGAGACCTCTGTATGTACTTACTCTGTGCCTCACATGAGCAGTGGCATCAGCCCTCTCCATGTCTTTTATCTGTAACGATAACATGCGGGGAGAGAAACATGAAGCCAATGCCACTTGACGCGCACTTGAATCATAATAGAGCGCGCGGCGATGGACCACACAATGATGGTGTATAAAGGGACTGAAACTGATGTACTATTTGGTGTGGAGAGCTGACACATGTAAGGCTTCACTTTTTAACTGCCAAATGAATGAATGTTATCGCGTTCCAGGTAAATAGATTGAGTTCACTAGATTGCAGCCCTCCACGCAACATAGTTGGTCAGTTTCAGTCCCTTTATATGCCATCACCGTGTGGTCCATTGCCACGAATGTCAGTTTCAGTCGTCTTATACGCCATCACCGCATGGTCTATCACGATTCAGTGCGAGTCAGCGCGCTGGCGTTAGCATGAAGTGGCGTTGCTTCACGTTTCTCCCGCATGTTATCATTCCAGATAAAAGACATAGATCGAGTTCACTGCAAGATTGATTGCAATGTTGCAAAACTCATGGGAACAAAACATCCGGTTTGACTGTAATACTCAATGTCACTTCCAATAACTTTTAATAGATTTTCATATCACAAATATGCAAAATTCTTAATTGTTACATGCGTACTTTAAATTTATATTGATTGCATTCTATTATTACTTTACTTTGCCAACTTTGAGTTTTTATAAGTGAAAGAGTACAAATCAAAGTTTATGGCTTTGATTTTTATATATTATGTATTCATTTTGGTGGCTCCCTCAAAATTTAATTTTCCTGAGGTGACCCCCCTTTCACATCGCTATTTTTTCTGGTGGCCCCCCTGCAAAAACCACCAGCCCCCCTGATAAAAAATGAACGGTCCCTAACTTCTGTATAGACCAATTGCGAAACTTAGTGGCCGCGCCTTCATACTGCACAATAACGAGGCTTATTATGCAAAAACAAAACAATTTCTACATTTTTATATAGCGAAAAGTGAATTTTAGGGTTTTTGAAGTGTTTTTTCTTGAATCTCTTTGATCTTTTCTTAATATTTCGTGTTAGGTTATATAAATATTTGTTAAATTTATCTAAACATCGATTTCCCACTATATTTTTACCCGCTTTGGAGAGATATTTCGTTGTTGTTTTAGCATGCGATGGAACAAACATATGGAAAAGATCAATCTAGACTTTCAAATCTGATCAAGATGCAAATAAAATAGCCAGTATAACTTAACAAACTAAAATATAACTCTTTCTACACAGATTTTTTTAGACTTCGTGCGAGAAAAAACGATTTTGTCAAAGGATAATAACATAAAATTTCTACAAATTTTGCCCGATATTTACTTTCATATTTTTAAAGTTAAAACCGAAAACATGCTATTATATTACAACTGAAACAAAATTAATCAATGTTACAACTTATTCTTTGAAATGTGTTTTAAATAAAACAGACGGAAAATACCTGATTCTTTCTCTGGTATAATCTGCTTCTTTTATCGGACGGCGAAAAACAGCAATACTTTGCCTCGCACACCGCAAAAAACAATGAAATTTGAAGTATGACTAAATCTATGAACAAGTTTAATTACATAGTCAAAACAAAAATGTTGAAAAAAAATGAAGAGATTACCATAAAAACCCGTCTCAAACACTGAAATTCATCTTTCGCCATATATAGCAGAATGATTTGTTTTTGCATAATAAGCCTCGTTTTCGTGCAGTTTAAGGCGCGGTCACTAAGTTTCGCAATTGGTCTATTCCATAGATATAGGAGACCTAGATTGCTGACTCGGCTCACCCGGCGTGGCATATTTTGAAAATCCAAGATGGTGGCTCAACCGGGCAAAAATCACAGAGCGAGATAGGGAAAAACCATGTTTTTTGCATTTTGCATCGTCCTAAAGCTTCCGATCCCGTTCTAGCACTTTATTTCGGCAAGAACTAACTGGTGTGAAGGTTTTGGATGAAAATTTGTACAATCAGTACAATTTTATACCATGGTTAATACAAATTACGATTCAACCGGGCAAGATTGGGCAGGCCTGCAGTTTCGTGCGGTTTTCGTCTTTAGTTTCTTCCTGTGTATTCCTTCAGTCTTTTACGAGTTTTTCTCAAGTAATATTATATATTTCTAACTATTCCAAAAGCTATTACTGTTTATTTTGTTCTTTCATTGTTATTTCGACCAAAATACAGTATTTTTATCTGAAAATTCTAGGGCTTCTATTCCATCTGGGTTTTTTTGTTATCGAAAAGAATGCTTGAAAGTCGGCCAGAATCGTGTTCAGTGTATTACTACAAGACAGACGTGGGATGTTATTCGATTTTCCTTCCATAAGTAAGTCTATGAAACACACACACATCACATATTTGTACACTATAAGTCTATAACTTACATCATATAAACAGAATAATAATAGAATAAAAAGAATTTGTTTTGTAAATACTGTAATGACAACGTCACAACAAATGTAGTTTTGAGTTTGGCAGCTACAATATAAAACTATTTACAGTTTTAATAAAAGAATATTAAACCAAAAAAGAACTTCTTGTTTTGATGTCTGTGTTAGGAGAGTCTCTCTCTCTATATATGCATGTTGACAACAACTTTCCTTGTCCTGTTCAAAGTCAAAAATGTTTTAGTTTTGTTCACATCAGTGAACCAAAAATACATCTTTCCCTTTGTACTATTGGATTTCCTATAACCAATCCCAGCCTGCTAAAAAATGAAATGGGCAGACTCAATGCCAATCAAATATTCATTCTTGTGTGAGAAACACTTCACACCGGATGATTATACTTCACACCCGATGATTATATTAATCCATGGTGTTGCAAGGTGCCCTACTTTATTATTTTACTCTGTCTAACGCCAGACAATTTTACTCATCAAGAGGAGAGCAGTGGCACTTAATGGGTTAACTGGCCTACCTGCAAATGTATATAGTTAACCCATTGAGTCGTTTTGTGCCCTACTTAATTATTTTACTCTGGCTACGCCAGACAATTCTACTCGTAAGGGGAGAGTGCTGATGCTTGGGTCAGCTGTCTCAAGGGGAGAGTGTCCAAAGGGAAGAATGCCGACTGCAGAGAGCAATCAATAAAATGCCAATCCAAGAAATATCTAAACGAAGATGCCGTCCCATCTATTTTTGATTATCAATGATGAATCAATCAGGTTTCTTGGAGAGAACTAGATACTAACTGTGAAGGTTTTTGATGCATACCAGACACATTAGGCAGTTTCTTCAAACTAGTTTCCATTGAAAACTTTCGTTGTCACTAGTTCTTTCTACAAACCTGATTGATTCATCACTTTTCACTGTCCAGGCCC